GCATATTCCAATCAGTTTTAATCCTTTCCCGAAAAGGAGGCCAATATCGTCCAATCAGAAACAGCGCTATGCAAATCGGTCAATAAGCTCCACATCATAATTGATGCAACGTTTCAATATCGGTGTTGCGGCTTCGTCCCGTCGGCGAGTCCAACTCGATTTCGCGTTAAGTAGCCTATTTTCGTATGCACTTGGGTTGTTTGATTATGCTTCTCATGCTTTCGGCTATGTTCTATTTCTAAGTTGGTTTCCCATTGTTACATGCTTGTTTTCCTTTGTCTTTCCTCCGGCCGCTATCTTGTTTGCTTCTTTTTCTATTCCGAAGATGTCGGGTTCGATTCCGCCATTGTCTTATGGTACTGGTTTCGCCTTTCTTTTATTCTTCTTTTTGTTCGAACTGTAAACTTGTCACAAAATATGTCATCGTATGACAGTCTTATTCTTGTTTCTTACTGCCGCCATCTTGTTGTATATATTCTGTTCTTCGCCGCATGATGTTGCTTATTGTCCGTTGTTTTTGCCTTTATTCTGCCTCGTTATTGTTCACTTTCGAACTTTCAAATAAGTATTGCTGCGTACAATATGTTGCTGTCTTGCTTTCCTTCATCTTTCTGAAAATTTTTCTTTGAGTTTCCTCTCATCAGTTATTTCCGTAGCTTATTTTCTTGTCCTGCGTACGTTCTTGACGCCCTTTATATTCTCTCAACGTTTCCTTTCCATCATTGTTTACTGCAGCTACTGATCTGTCATGCCTTATCCTACCCATTCGCTCTACAGAGTAAGCGATTGCTTACCCTACCTACGATGCATTCCGTTCTGCATTATCACTCTTGTTTGTATTCTGCATCTCAGTCGATATCTGTAATAACCCTTTTGCTACGTTTGTGGCGTTACCTTGCTCTTTAATCGTCTAAGTCTTTCCGTAAGTTTCCTTTCGTTAACTCTCTCTGTAAGTTTCTTTTCTTTCCGCCATGTTCTATATTCTTTACTTTGTTCTGATCTTGTTTTTTCGCTCTTTATTTTTTCCACACCTGCTGGTTTTGTACGGCCGCTGCTGTCTCTCCGCATCTTCTGTTTTTTTCTTTAAAATAATTTCCTTTCTTAACATGTTGCGCTCATTGCTGTGTCATCTAGTGTTGTTTTTCTCACCACATTGTTCTTTGCTACTTGTTTGATGCAACTGCTGTCTCGTGAAGAGCTTGTCGCTCTTGTTGTTTATAAATGCATATAGTTTCGTCTTGTCTGCGTCTGTGCCCATCTTCTTAGCTATGCTTTGCCATAGTTATGTTTATGTTCTCTATCGTTTTGTAGTTGCTTTCTATCACTTCCAATTACAGCCGTTTCTGTCCCATCATTTGATGTGCACCCTTTTGCTTGCTTCGTTTAGTGATTTGTTCTTCATTGGGTCATGTTCTCTATTGACAATTTGCTCTTGTATATATATAGCATGCAGTTTTATATATATAACTGCATGCTATATA